GGGGGAGTGGAGAGAGGGGGGGAGGGGGAAGCGGCAGGGCACCGCAACACACACCTGGGCTGCGAGTCGCACACACTCGCCAGTCGGTGCGCGGACAAGCAGCAGCGGCAGCAGCAGCCAGGAGAGCGCTCCTCGGTCAAGTTCAGGAGCAGCGAGAGAGCAAAACACCGGCAAGGTGAGGCGAGCTGACCAGCTGACCACTAGCCGAGGGTCGGTCACTAGGCCAGAGATATGGTTTTATACACGGTAAAAAGTGTGTCACACTGTTAAAGGAAAAATTGAAAACTTTGAGGAACTCCCACATTTGAGGAAAACTCCTCCGATCTCGCCTTAGATTTTGAGGAATCTTCTCCAAGAATGAGGGAAAAGACCACATTTTCTGAAGAGACCTCCTCGAAATCTGAGGAGTATCACTCAAACCAAAAGAGTTCTTCAAAGTTTTCCCTTTTCCCTCAAAAATTGAGACATCGTTTTTACCGTGTGGAAGTCGGGGCAGATTATTTTTACGGTCTGAACCAAATTGAGAATTGCGGGGTTCCTGTACTGCACCATGCATTTCTATATGACAACACGTAGATTTTTCCTCCGCGCAAATTTCTCAGAATCCTCCACGTCAAAAAATGAAAAAATGTAAGAAGAAATACAGGTAAAAAGATGCAGGGCTCTTTGGAGACGGGAAGGGGAAGTTGGAGGGGATCAGGGTCGTCACCCGATCAGCTGAATACGCCTAAATATGTTCGCGAACGCCGGATCCGGTAACATCCCCCATTCCGTAAACTTGACCGTCGTCCTTGTCTCAGATGGAACTGCGGGGGCGGTGGCTGCTGCTCGCCAGCGTTGTGGTGGTCGTGGCGCTCCCGGCGGCCACCCCGCTGGGGCTGCTGCTGCTGTCGGCCGCGCAGCAGTACCAGGAGGCCGTGCTGCCCTTCCGAGAGCACCCCTACACCGGCAACAAGCCCATCCTCGCTGAGTACGACTTCATTGTGGTGAGTACAGATGTCAAAGTCCCTACAAGCTCAAAGATTTCGGTATTTCTCTCACTTCTTTTTAGTCTGATTTGGTCAACAAGGCGCCCTTCTAGACTCTGGTACAACCTGAAGCTCTCGAAGCCAAATGAAACTCATGAGCCCTTAATCGAATGGTGACAGGTTGAGGTCCACTAGGGGATGGGAATGAAGACGTGCAGGGTGCGACTGGCCGAGTGCAAGACTGCGTCCAAAAACGATTAGTATTGGAGGGGAATGCTCGTATCTCATACCCACAACACGTTTTCGAAAGAATTGAGACATCCCATACCTGCCCGCGGTTGCAGGTCACCGTCCGATCGGCTCTGATGCACGCTTGTACTGGACACTCTAAAATTTTGACTAAAAATGTGCCAAGTAACTAATATAGATTCGTGCTGCTGAAAAAAGTCAAAAAATATTTGGTATTAATAAAAAAC